TTTATATTATAATAAATTGGTATATAAATAGTAAAGTGTGTTCATATAATTTTCTCTAGATTTTCCGATTTTCCCGAATTTTCACGACGGCAACTCGCCTGTAGGCCACACTGTGCAAAATTCGAAGTTGTGATATATGAAAATAGAACTAAGAATTTTGAGACCTTTCGAATGATGTGTAATACTTTATATGTTTTCTTTAGAGAAATATCGAATCGCGAAGTGTGTTGCTCTAACCTAACCGCACTTTGCATTTTTACAAGTTGACAACTACACAGATTGCTCTATACTATCTAAACCGTAAAAGATACAAAAAAACGTTGTTCGTACGAAAGATGCAGAATAAAATTACAAATAAAATGGTATATCAATGGTTAAGTGTGTTCATATAATTTTCTCTAGATTTTTTGATTTTCCCGAATTTTCACGACGGCAACTCGCCTGTAGGCCACACTGTGCAAAATTCGAAGTTGTGATATATGAAAATAGAACTAAGAATTTTGAGACCTCGTGAAGTGTGTTGCTCTAACCTAACCGCACTTTGCATTTCAACATGTTAACATCCACACAGATTGCTTTATACTATCTAAACCGTAAAAAATACAAAAACACTTTGTTCGTACGAAAGATGCAGAATAAAATTATGAATAAAATGATGTATAACTCGATATATGTCATAATATAATTTTTATGAGATTTTTCAATTTTTCCTTTAAATTAAAAAATGTTTTAAATTTTTCGCTAGCTTTAAATTCATTTGCGATGTAAAAAGTTAAATTAACGAGGGGCCTCAATATGCAAAAAATTGGCTCACTCTAATATATATATTATATATATATATATATATATATATATATATATATATACTACTACTTATAATAGCTGTAGTATATATATATATATATATATATATATATATATATATATATTAATTTGGAAATATGAACAAACAACACTCTTTTTGCACTAATTTATTAAATAATAATTTTCACAAACTTTTCGAGACTAGGTTTGTCTCATCATCAGTGTGTTATAATCAAAAAAATTTTTAAAATATGGAAATCTAAATTAGCATGTTGTGTTTTTCATTACAAGTCGTTCACTGCACGCTGCATACCATTGTCTTTGGTATTCGTATTCTCTCCTACTTGAAAACCACTTGAAATTGTAAAGTCACTCAATCAGATAGGAAAAAAAAGGATTAGGGTCCAGTTGAAAAATAGATGTCGTTAGGAGAAAAAATATTCTATGATGAGATGGTTTGTTTATAAGATTTGTTATACATTGTTATAATTTAAAGTGTATGTACATCTATACATAAGTTACAAAGTATGAATGAGATTCAGGTATGTATCATGTAATATATTGGTATCTGTCCGTAAATTTACTGTGTTACTTGTATGGGCTATTAACATCGATTCTGCTATACTTCTTTTAAATAAATCTTGTTCATAATATAAAATGTGCGGATTATTGAAATCGAAACTATGGCTGTTAGAGATAGCGTGGTCTACAAGTGTACTTTTTTGTTGAATGTTATTATTCTTACTTTGTTTGCTTTGTAATTCGTGCTGTCTTAATCTTTTTTCTAAATTTTGGCATGTTTGCCCAATATAAGATGACTCACAGTTCAAACAGTTTATTTTGTATACCACATCTTTTTTTTTTAATAGGTGTATTGTCTTTAATGTTTGTGTATATGTCTTGCAGTTGTAGTAAGGGTGACACGGATATGTTAATATCATGTTTATTAAAAAGCCTTTTAGATAAAAGCTGTAAATCTTTGTCTATATATGGAAAATTCACAAAACATTTATTTTTAGACAAAGATTTACACCTTTTATCTAAAAGGCTTTTTAATAAACATAATATTAACATATCCGTGTCACCCTTACTACAACTGCAAGACATATACACAAACATTAAAGACAATACACCTATTAAAAAAAGAAAAGATGTGGTATACAAAATAAACTGTTTGAACTGTGAGTCATCTTATATTGGGCAAACATGCCAAAATTTAGAAAAAAGATTAAGACAGCACGAATTACAAAGCAAACAAAGTAAGAATAATAACATTCAACAAAAAAAAGTACACTTGTAGACCACGCTATCTCTAACAGCCATAGTTTCGATTTCAATAATCCGCACATTTTATATTATGAACAAGATTTATTTAAAAGAAGTATAGCAGAATCGATGTTAATAGCCCATACAAGTAACACAGTAAATTTACGGACAGATACCAATATATTACATGATACATACCTGAATCTCATTCATACTTTGTAACTTATGTATAGATGTACATACACTTTAAATTATAACAATGTATAACAAATCTTATAAACAAACCATCTCATCATAGAATATTTTTTCTCCTAACGACATCTATTTTTCAACTGGACCCTAATCCTTTTTTTTTCCTATCTGATTGAGTGACTTTACAATTTCAAGTGGTTTTCAAGTAGGAGAGAATACGAATACCGAAGACAGTGGTATGCAGCGTGCAGTGAACGACTTGTAATGAAAAACACAACATGCTAATTTAGATTTCCATATTTTAAAAATTTTTTTAATTACAACACACTGATGATGAGACAAACCTAGTCTCGAAACGTTTGTGAAAATTATTATTTAATAAATTAGTGCAAAAAGAGTGTTGTTTGTTCATATTTCCAAATTAATATCT